CACTTCAGTAGGAAAATGACACGTGAGAAACGTTAACGCAGCTGAGCTGGCCAGAAGAACTCGAGATGCCTTGGACACCTCTCAGGGCTGCTCCAAGTGGAACATGAGGATGAGGCAGCAAGCAAAGCCATCTCCTGTTACACCTCCAGTAACCAGAGGCTCAAAGGTCTCTGTGGCAACACAAGCAGCTGGATGTAGGTGCAGTCCTCATCTGCCACTGTCACCAGCCAGTGGTGCTGAGGGGCAGGGGGGCAGCAGGAAGGGGGCTGTGAAAGCCCCACTGGCCAGGGTGCTGCCTGGGGCACTGGGAAATGTGTATTTAACTGGAGAAATTGAGATATACCCCCCCTCCTACACACTGCCAACAGCACTCGTCCAGATTCTTTAAATTCTTGCTCCACATCAGGCGCAGGGAGAATTTGGATCAGATCTCTCCTTCTGGACACATTCTTGAACCCTTCTGCTTTTAGATAAGAAGGACAGATATTGCAGTCAAGCCTACTACGTTTTTTGTTTGCTTTCTAACATTGCAGTGTGAATCTAGCCTGAACATACACCAAAGCACTGCAAAAATACTGCCAAAATTAAAGATTTTGACAGAACTACATTACACAGAATCACAGAATTACTGAGGCTGGAAAAAACCTTTAAGATCATCAAGCCCAGCCCATGACCTGACACCAGCACATCTCCAGACCGTGGCACTAAGAGCCACCTCCAGCCTTTCCTTGAGCACCTCCAGGGATGGTGACTCCACCACTTCCCTCATTTTGTATCTGGCTGGAACTGCTGAGCAAACACAACCTGAACTCACTGGCAGTGTCAGTCAGGGTGAAATGGCCCTTTTCAGAAAGCTGCTCCATGTATGTGGAATTACTCCACTCCCTGGATAAGCCAAGGCAGAATTGTTGGGCAGACCTGAGGCCACAGAGGAGCCTGACTCTTCCAGGTGGGGACAAGAGAGAAGGAGGCTGTGAAGTTTGGTATCTTAAGAAGCATACACAACCAAGTTAAGTTTCATGAAAATAAATTCTTGTGGATCATTACTGCAAAACAAAAGCTGCTTGAACTTATTACTTGCAGCCACCTGGAACTGAGGCAATCTCTTTAAGGTCTACATAACACAAGGCAAAGTCTTCTGGAAGCATGACCTGGCCATGAGGGATGGGCATTAGTTTTGCTGATCTCGACTCTCAGATTTGCTCCTAGATTACCCCAAGACATTTCTTTTGTCAGCACTTTGCCTGTTTTAAGTTAGAGAGTATGATCATGAAGATTTTCCCAGTGTCTGTTCTGAATTTCTCTGCATTAGTCTGACAGCTCTCTGGCATGGGGAAGATGGGCACTCAGGAAGCCACAGGCTGGACTGTTTGCCTTCTCAGATCAGATTTCAAGAAAGCTACTGCTGACTGCAAAAAAAAGAGATGACAGTCTGCATTAAAGGACCAATGGCACAAACAGCAGGCTCTGCACTGCCAGACCAACGTGGCACCCAGCTGCTACACTCTAAAGAGCCAGTCCTCACCCAAGTTCACTGCCACTGAGTGGCTTTCCCTGTCACAGAAACCAGGTGTGGTTCATCAAAAATGAAAGCCAGCTGGAATTGCCCTCAGCACCCGCCCAGCACAGCACCTGCCTGCCTCCCCAGCCTCCCAGGACCTCTGCTCCTCAGGGTGAGTCACCAGTGATAAGGTGCTGGGTGAGCAGTGCCCAGTGCTCCCAGGAGAGAACTGGAAGGGCAGCAGGGGCTGCTGGCTCAGGATCACATGCCTGCTGACACACAACTCACACAGCTGGAGGAAAGTCCTCTGCAGCCACCTCTCCACCCAGGAGTCTGGGACCTTCAGGACCTCAAGACAGCACTGCTACACAAGTGATGTCATTTGCTGAAGTGCCAGTTTTGCCACACACCTCACTCCTGACCTGTCATCCTGCCAAAGATCATCGTAAGCCCAGCAGGGCAGATCATCAGGATGGAAGTACCAAACAACTTCTTCCTGAGCAATAAAAGGCCCCTGCAGGGCTGTCTGAACGGCCACCAAGTGAGAACGTGGGGACCCAACTGTCATCAAGGGCCAGCACAGCAGAAATCTTTTCAAGCTCCACGTCTCACAAGTCCCTGAGCCTTCCTTCTGTACTTACTGGTGGGCACTGTGCAAGTTTATCAGCTGCCACCAACTGAACATTCAAGTGTTTGCTTTGTGACTTTCCTCTGGATTTAATCAGTCGCTGCAAAACCTGGTGGAGGAGAAGAGAAAACTGTGAGTTTAAGAATCACTTGTCTCCACAGAGCTCAGACTGACATCCCTCTGGAGGACCACCAAGTGCAGAAGCTCTCTCTTATGTTTAGCAGAATGGATAAAACACTGCCCTTGAATATAAGCACAAACCTTTCTGACTCCCTCCCTGAAAGCATCACATTTCATCCCTCTGGATCACATTGGACCCCTTGCAAATCTTTCCAGTGCAATGCAAATGGTGATTTTGCTCTATTCTGCTTTAAACAAGAGGTGAATCTTGACAAATGCAACCTTCTACAGGGCCAGGAAAACTGTCCATCCACAGAATCATACTGGATTGGCTACAGGACAATGGGAGCAGCACCCTGTGTTGTGTGGCACTAATGTTGTAACTTGGCTTGTTCTGAGGTGCATTTTGGGCACAGAAGGTATTTCATACACACAGTTCATACTACTTTTGGGGTTTTTTTTCCCTTCCACTGTGTTCATTACTAGAATTTAAGGGGTGGAAAAGTCAGCAATCCCAACTTACTTCTCTGTAAAGTTTCCGAGAAAATGACAGGATCACGGAACAACAGGACACAATTTTTAGAGACCTCTAGAGGGGTGTGTGCCAGCCTCTCACCCAAAGCAAGGCCAGCTGGATCAGATTGCCTTCCCTCCACTTCCAGAGGTTCCTGACAACTGGACTGGGTCCCTCTGACCAGCACCCTGGTGAGAGACACCCCAGAAGTACAGCTGTGTTGGGGTAGGAGGGGCTACGAAGATCAATTTGCTCCTCAGGAATTTTGTCTGCTGGGTGCCCTGTCTAAGACTCAGCCTAAGCCCAAGGTTGAGGTCTAGGGCAGAAAAAATAAACTGCTTCAAATATCACCTGGTCAAGCCTCTACAAACTTCACTTTCATTCTCTTCACCTCACTCAGCTTCTGCAGGTACCCCCCTGCCCACTCCCACGCTGCCCCCCAGGGCCCTCTCAAAGGCTCCTGTTTTAAGGGTGAAATGCATTACCTTTGGAGAAGACACTTTAACATGGACAATAATGGGTGCTAAAGATGTCTTGATGAGTTGTGCAGGGTGATTGATAGTGTCTGCATCCAGGACAACCAGCTGTAAGGACCTCGCCAGCTCAAAGATTCTTTCAATTTCACTCTGTACTTCAGCTAGGAAAACAACACAGGTAAAGCCACTCAAACCCAGCATCACTTCAGACAAAACCAGCACCCCCCATTTCTTTTCATGGATACGTTTAGCATGTGAATTCCACGGGTGAGTTAATGTAATTTCCATTAAATAACCTATTACTCAAGGCAATTTTAAAAATACATATTACCTTGGAGACAATTCTGTTGCCTGCAAATACATATGTACTGTGTTAGTTTATAACATCAATACATTTTAAAACTGGGTGCCATTAAACACATTTTTCTATTAACATAAACCAGACATCAGCATGCTTAGCAAGATTTTTTTGTATTTAGATAGCAAGTGATGTACTGATACTTATTAAAATTATTTCTGTTTTCAGATTGTATTTCTGATTTAACTCAAACAAGAATCTGTATGAAGAGCAGAACTGTGACCTCCTAATTCTATAATCACAGAAATGGATGTAAAATAATGGGCAGGTTATTATTTTAAAAGACACTACTGGTAATGTTCAAACATTTTGGTCTGAAGAAAAGGGAGAGATTCATTTCCATGTAAATTATATTTCTGATCTTCATGGTTCTGACCCTTTTTAATCATTCCCATGCACGTGGTGAATTTTAAATAGATAAGCTCAGCAGAAACTGAAGCCTGTTAGTTATACCACCCAAGCACCAAAGAGCTCTATGTCAGCAACTCATGCATTTCATGTGCCCAGGAGCTGTTCCACTGAGCAATGTGTGCTCAGAGGCACGAGCAGGTGCAGCACCCAGCCCTGCAGCAGCAGGTTCTGAGGGGCCTTCTCCTGCACCAGAAAGCCAGCTAGAAGGGGAGCACCCTGCAGCCTCGACCTCTAGTTCCAACAGCTGCTCAGGATGTCAGAGAATTGGTTTTTAGAGCATTTTCTCTCTGAGAAAATGGAAAATCAACTCCTTCAGCCTCCTGGGAGGGTGTCCCAGAGACCAGGTTATTGGCTTGCCTGTAGTGGAAGAAATAAAAATTGACCAGGCCAGTGTAACTCAGCAGAGATGACACTGTGAGGAGAGAGTGGGAAGACCCAGACTCTCAGGGCTAGACAGCAAATGAAGCTGTAGCTGTTCAACATTCAATACAAAACCAGCCCCAGGCTGAGGAACACGTCCCCTTCTTGGCTGGACACAGGGAAGGCTCTTTGGTGCCTTGTGATGTGGAATTATGAGCACAAAGGCTGAGAAGATGGAGCTTGGGAGGGATCAGCATTGAACCCCTATCCTGACTGCAGGTCCCTACCCCTTCTTTTTCAAATATCAGCCACCACACTGCCTGCTGCAGCCCAGCAACTGCTTCAGGCAGGGGCAGCACAGCCCATTGTGCCTCTCCCCAGCGGGCAAAATCTGCCTCCCGTTTGAGCACGTGGAATTCAGAATCACACATGAAAATGCTGCAGACACATATAAACCTGCAGAACTGATGATGTCCTGCAGGCTGAAACCCTGTCACTCTCCCCCAGCAGGCAGCCCTGCTCAGAGTGACACCCGTGTCCGTGTCTTACCTAAACTGGATCTTGTATTTGACCGCTCAATTATTGCCCTCTTGCTGGGATTATTGAGAACAGACCTCTTAGCAAGAGAAATGTCAGCTGTCACTCTAGTTATTGATATCCTACGAGTGAGAACACAGGACAGAACAAAACCACAGCAGTCAGACTTGCAGAGTGCACCGTGCATGATTTACAGCCACGTTCTGCTCCAAAGTGCAAACACCATAAAACACCGCTCAGAGGTTTTACAGCCCAGTTATATCATCGTTCAGGAACAACTAAAGAGAAATGCTGCATAAAATGTAAAGCATTTCCTATCCCCTGCACTCTTGTAGACTCACAGACAGTTGCTGCTAATTCTACTTCAGGCATTAGTCAGCTTTTCTCCTCCCCACCTCACTCATCTCCTACCCAAGTTACACAGCACCAGGAGCACTGCACGTGATGCACATCCCAGGGCACACGGAACAGGAGTCAGAGCAGGAGCTGCACTTCCCTCCCAGGTGGCTAAACCAGTGATTAAACCTGGCATTGCTGGCAGGTGAGGAAGGGCCACGTTTTGGACACCTGAGCAGCTCGAGTCACTCAATCCCTGAGTGCCTGTGAGTCACCAAACAGAGCTGCTGGCTTCGGGAGACTGGTCCTCCCACACACACTCTCCTCTCCCAGACAGGGAGCTGAGCCCGTGGGCTAAAGGACCTGGCTGAGGGTTGAACAGGGGAGGAGAGTTGAGCCACAGCCACCTGTGCTGCTGGAGCCTCCTCCATCACCTGAGGAAGGCTGGGTTTCCACTTCACCTGTCAGTGAGCTGACAAGAGACAAAAGGTCATAAAGCACAGACCACACCATCATTTCACACACACAAGTGAGCAGGAGGACTAAGGAACAGCTGAGGTGCCTGAAAAGGAATTTAATTCATTTTTCTAAAGTTACTCAAAGCTAAAGTCAATTGTGTTGGCTTCTTCGTGGTATTTAACTTTCTCCATGCAGAGATTTCATACTTCCACCAGATCTGGTTGTCAATATTGCTACTGGCAGTAAGATTTCCAAACAATCCCTCACTCCAGCCAGAATCTCTCCCCTTTGCCCCTCTGTGCACACCAAGAGCATGGTTGGGGGGCAGGACAGGAGCAGTCCTGCCCCTCACCAGCCCAAGCAGCCTAGATGGGTGTGCCTAAGGGTGCTTGACATTTTCTTCCCTGTATTTAGGCACTGCTGATCGTCGTGGATCAGGCCTCTGCTGACTCCATTCTCACACAGGGTATAAAAATGCACCTCATAAAGGACATATTCACAGCAATCACATCGTGGCAGCTGGAGATGACTTACCACTTCCAGTTGCCATGGCTTCCTACCACAAACAATCCCTCTCAGTTATCACCAGCACAGGCAAAGCTGACAGACACGTGCCAGCAGCTGGAAGGGAACATACACTGCAGTTCTGTCCCTACACCTAATGGAAATGGGCAAGGACTGGTCAGACTGGTCAGCAGTGGGGAGAGGAGGCCCTGACAGGACACAGCAAAGCCCAGAAAAATGACAAAGGTAACTGCAGGTGCCACATCCAGTGCTGCCTCTGCCAGGTTTTCAAGCAGTCGCTGCCTTTGCAGGACCTGCTACAATCCCTGGAGCTGGGCAGTTAAAAGCAGGGGAGGAGAGGAGATATGTTGCACAGAAGTTACCAGCTTATTTGTCTAAGCTGTTCAGGGATTGGTTCAGCACCTCCACCTCCTCACTGCACCCCAAAGTCCCACTCCACCTCTGCTAAATGACAGACACTATGATTCTCACCAATTTTTTTTTGTATTTTCAAACCTGACTGCCATACCCTGGATAGCACAGTGCAAGCTCCTCTTCACTCTTGGAATATACTGAAGATACTAGGAGGAAGGAAGGCCAGAATCCCAGAGATGCAGCAGACACCTCCAACTACTGATGAGCTCCAGTGGGAAGGAAGAGATGCCATGGACCAAGCCCACGTTCCTAGCAAGGAAATCCACACTATCCCTCTCACAGCTCATCAGGAAATATTCCCCATGTCTCAGCTGAACAAGAGGAACCCTCCTTAGAACTTTCAAAGTTGTGACAGACTTTGTTTCTCTGTGTTTTTTTCTGTATATTTCATATTCTCAGCATTTCCTGCTTCAAATTGCCTTTTCAAAGTATTTCTGGCTACTGAGAATATTCAAGGGTTGATTTTTCTTAGGTGCTGGTCTGCAATCAGTGTTCCCACACCTTGCTGAAACCTGCTGTTTTCTGATACTTATTTCAGGGCTGGGGTGTGATAGTTCTATTTAGAGAACATCCTGCTGCAGCTTCCCAAAAGGTGCTGGAAGGAACCAAGCCCAAGTAGAGCAACTTCAGAACACAATCAAGAGGCACTCACTCATCCTTGGTGCCTGCACACCTCAGGGCTGGCTGGGCTGGCCCAGCAGTACACACTGCTTGTAGATGATGGCTGAGAAATGTTCATAGCCCAAAGGACTATTAATAAAACTGCACTTCTACGTGCAACCAGCCATGCTTTCTCAGCTGTTCCACCCACAGAGACTGGACAGCTCTTTGAAATGAAGCAGCAACCCATTCAGTTCCATCCAGAGCAGTGGGGCCTGGGAGCTGCAGAGGAAAGAGGGCCAGTGGTGAGCCAGGAGCCCAGCTCTGCCAAAGGGGCTGCCCACTGGGAGCCACCATCCCCTCCAACTCCTGCCTGGACACAGGACACAGCCTGCTTCCCAACAACATGAAAAACCTGACCTGGTAATGCCACCTGTAAAGGCAGTTTGGTACTTTCCATGTGCCCCACTCATTTAATTTCTCCTGTAACCTCAGGCTGGTAAGACACTGAGTTATTCTATCAAATTCAAGAAGTCCTACCAGAGACACAGCAGCTCTGAAGATCCATGCACCTCTAGCAACACATTAGTTGTGCTGCACCCCACAGCTGGCTGTGTTTCAGTGTTGATACAGAGCTGGTACATCAGTTTTGAACATGCATCCCTCTTCTTGCATTAAAAAACCAAGAACCACTCAAATGTTAGTAACACACGAGGGGAAAACAAAGCATGAAAAGGACAGTATTTCTCACCTCCCATCAAACCTGTGCTTCAGGAAGTCAAAGAGAGCTTTCTGCATCATGTCTGTCACCTTTGCAGAGGTGAGGAAGATTGAACAGGGAGGGTTGACAGGGAGAAAAAGAAGTCAAAAGTAAGAGAAGAGGTAAGTAGAAGGCAAGGACACTGCCAACAATCAATACCTTCACAGGTAGCAACATTCAATTCCCCTGCTCTTGGCAGCACGCTCTGTAATAAATACTTGCAAGTTTTCTGACTCATTCCCCAAAATGCAGAAGGGAGGATGTGAGAGCTGTCACTCTTTCTGCTCTTGCCTGGCACTGAGGCATCAGAGCAGCCCTCACCACCCTCCATCACAGTCCTGTGCCCTGCAGGCTTCACAACATGCCAGGAGCACATGGCACTGCTCAGGCTGAGCAGATCATTTGGGTTGGTTTTTCTTTTCCTACAGTAACATTATTAGAATTGGCTTCAAACTTCAGCTACAAGGCTCCCCGTGTCGGATGGCTGCTCAAACAGAAGAGAACAACTGTTCTCAGAGAGGCCTACAAGGAAAAAAAAAAAAGCTGTTCCCATCCCTGTACAAGGGAAAGCATCTGAGAGAAGCTCATCCCTGACAGCTGTCACCTACTCTACTGAGTGACCTCCTACTCCTTTCTGGGACAACTCAGGCTGACACCTATTATCTCCCAGTCTAGACAGGAACCTAATCAAAGCCTCCAGACCCTTGGCAGTTTATTTCTTCCAGGCTGTGTTTCAAAATGGTTCTTACAGAATTTAGTCAGGGGGGGAAAAAAAAATAGAGTCACAAGAATATTCCCGAATAGGTTGCAAAGTCAGACCAACGTGTTTCTGTTGTGTAGGCCACTATTTGTAACTGAGCCTTGTAGCAGCACCACCATTCATACACCTTGGTATGTTCAAGATGTGGTGTTCAGTGTTATTTCCTTGGACAGAGGTGGGGCAGCCCATTTGTAGAGGTGCATGTTAACAAAAAGCCTCTACCCTTCCCAGCTTGAGAGTCCCGAGGCCAATCAACTTGTGCTGCAGCACCATGGAAATCAGTGGATTAAATTTACTCCTGTCAAGAAACATCACCATAACATTAAAAGGCAGAGAGTAGAACATGAACTACGTAATTCCTGCTTTGTTAAACTACACTTTCAATCATTCTTAGCAAAAAAAACACCCCAAAAAGCAATGCAAGAACACTGCATTATGCTAGTAGTGGTACCATGTTGTAATCTTCCAAAAAAGAACCATTCCAATACGTTTAATAATATCCCATCAAGTACTAACAATATTAATAAAGCTAAATGAAGTGTATCTTTGATGTTCATGTTCATTTAGCTCCTCGTTCAGCAAAACATTTAACAGATGGTTAAGCTCACCCAAATGCCCTGCTCAAAGCCTGGGCTCATTTAGCCTGTAGGAGATGCTCACTTGAACCTGCAGCAGCCTTGAAAAATGGGTGTCCTGTTTACCTGTGCATGTCACCAAACCTGCTTCCATGGTGAACAGAGGCAAACAATTTGGAAGGGTTGAAGTTTTCTTGCCATATATATGTCACTATAGTCATAGGGGTTTTTTTGGGACAAAAAAAGGCAAGAAAATATGTTGAAATCATAATAATCACTTCCCATATTCAGCTTCAGGTGCTGGAGAACATCACTGAATATGCTGCAATAATCCAGCTACTTTGTTTCAAGGGAAGTTTTTACAAGTGAAAAAAAGGAGAACAATGAAGAAGCTTCTCCAAAATTCTTGCTAATTAAAAGTTCAAAGCATGTGCTAGTTTGATTCAAATTCTGCATGTATACAGAGTTCTAGCTAGTTCACTTGACTGCTCCAACTTTTTCTTGCCATGGACACAAATTCTCTTCTCCTTACTTGATTTCACCACGAAACACTGCACAGAAACCAAGGGATGTGGAGGGTGTTTAAAGCAGTGAAGCTGCAAAGAGAACACCAGGGTAATTAATGTGACCCACCCTCCAGCTGAGATACCACAATGAGCAGACACTGCTGCAAGGTAGAAAAAAACCTCAGCTGGTACCTCATCCAAAGGGTGCAAAGTGCCAACTGTGCCCTTAGTTCTTACGTGATGTTTCTGATCATTATTTAAGCTAAGATCATTTTAAGTTATCATTAAACAGTTGTACTGAACCACACACACTGAATGTACTGAGGAGAAGGTAAGAGAACCCTAACTGCAAATCCCTGGAATACAAACCTCGTAGCCTTTCAGTGATGGACCCACCAAGACAACAGGTCTCATGGATGGAACCACATCATAGGGAGGAACATGTTCTGTCTAGAAGAAGAAAACAACCCTTCAGATCACTAACCAAAGATCCAGATGAAAATCCAGGGAATTATGTATTGGAATTAAATAAAATCATTTAATAAAAAGAAAATGAAAGTCCTACTTACCACTTTTTGTTTCTGTTTTGCTAAAAGACCAAATAAGAACTTGGTTAAAACACACACACTGTGTACAACAGCCAAAACAACTTGCAAGCAAGAACTGTCCATCTCTCTCAGTGCACCTCCCTTCTGGGCAGCCCTGTTGAAACTGGATGTTCACTCCATTTTGGGGGCAGCTGCCACTTTCCCCAAGATGATTTTCCCAGTCCCTTAGCAACTACTGCAGGTCTAGAAATAGATGCCTTTCTCCACCTCTGCATGCAAGCACTTTTCTGTAGAACATCCTAATAAGTCAGCAAAAGGGGGGTGAGGGGGTGGGTGGGAAACACGCGTTTTTGCATATGCAGCTTTTAAAATAGAAGTATTAGAAATAGCAAGAGTTGCTTTAAATAAAATCCTGCCTTACCCGTGGAAGTGGGAGTGGCTCGAAATGTGCCCGAAACCATCTCTCCAAGGCTTGAAGAAGAATTTCCACTTGATTTCCTACAGTAACAGAAAGTGCCCCGTGAACACCAAGAGCCCAGAGATGCAAATGTGAGGTTTTTTGGCAAAAGCAATGAGATATCACAGGGTAAAATGGAGTCTTCACCCACACTTCCTGCTGTGAGAAAGCTGAAGGGTACCAGGCAGGGGTACAGGGGGAATCAAAGGAATCCAGCAGAGCTCCACGTCTGGAAGAGCTGCACACAGGCTGTGAGGGGACAGCAGGCTCCACTGCAGAGTGAGCCAAGCTCTTCTGTGCCCACAGGCAGGGAAATGCAGCAGCTCCAGCCACAAAGCCCTGCTCAACCCAGTGCACAGCCCAGCTCTGCATGTGAACCCCCTCCCTGGGCTCCTCTGTCTTGCTGGGTGTCTCTGCCAGCACCCATGACTACCCAGACACATCTCTTGGGACTGTGCACCCCTGGACTTGGCAAATCCTCCACCAACATACACTAGACTCCAGAAACCCCTTTTAGTAGGTGACTTTTCCCTGCATTGCTCAGAAAAAAGCAGAATTCTTCTTCATCATATACAGCCTTCATCTCACAGCTCCTAGAGAAATCTCACAGTACAGACACTGCATGACTGGATCAAACAAAGCTGCTCAGAAATAAACTATTTTATCATTATTCAGTGCTTTCAATTTCAGCATACAAACCCAGGAGTGTTAGTGCAAGCTACCTGAAATCTTAGCAGATAAACTTCACCACACTTCCCCTGTTTCTTTCATGCTTGATTTTATTTTAAATACTCTCCATGGGTGAGATGAGACCAAATCTTTGCCAGAACTGGTGATGTGGTGATCAGAGAATGTTTCTAATATGCTGCCTCTGACACAGGGTCCCAAACACTCTCTCAGCCTCCATCTCTCTGAATCAGAGAATCTTCTTTCTGTGCACTGAGACACACTTGGCCTCCTCTGTAGCTATTCCACAAATGATGAAAGCAGTTTGGAAAAAGCACAGTTCACTCATTCTAAAAACATTTTCCCTGCTGCTTTATACTTGAAATGGTTCCTGATCTTGATTAAATGTATTAGCCTGCCAATCACCTGACAGTTCTACACAGGCCAAATCATGCTCCTCTTACTACTGCCTATTAGGTCCACATTCAATTGGGTCGTGCCCCTTTACTCTCAAGTACTAAAGATTTTGTTCTCAACATTATCTGTGTGAACATTTGAAACTCATTTTCAATTTGGGGGAATCATACATTAGTAGCAAAGCAATTAACATTTTTTAAAAAAGTCTTCTGTGTATCTAGCCAATGGGAAAGTGACTTCAGTGTCTGAAGTGAGATTGTGGGAAGGCAGTTTTACTTCCTAGACCTCTGACCAAGTTGGTATTTTTCCAAGGATTTGCAATCTCCAACTCTAGCAGTTTGGAGACACAGAATGGAAGATGAAGAAGAAAGGAAGTCGAATGACAAAGCTCATCTCTATATTTGATAAATCTGGTTTTGCCCAAAGTGAAGAAAAAAAGAAAGAAAACCCCCACGACCTGAAGATCACAACAGCTGGGGAAAAAAACAGTCTAGCAGCATTTGAACACCAGCTTGACTTAAACCCATGGGGGACTTAAAACTCTTTAGCCCTTTCAGAACTTTCCATCATGACCACTTACACTGGATTACTGAGCTTTCCTAAAACCAACACACATTTTTGTCCTGTTTCTCATGGCCAAAATCAAACCCCTCTTACCCTTCGCAAACGAGTATTTCCCCGCGGGATCCCAAATCAAACACTCCTCCTAATGTGCTGCAATAAAAACCGTATCAAGTGACCTTTGAAAAATATTGCCTGGTGTCAGAAAAGATTTTCAATCATTTTTAAAGGTTACAGCACTCTCACCCTCCATGGAAACGTCCTCTCTTCTGCTCCTGTTGAATGCGGATGTTCTCCAGCCTGAGCGGGCTTGGGATGAAGCCGATCTCGCAGCCCTCCTTCACCAGCCTTCCTATCCACCAGTCATTGTTGTATTTCTGGAACACAGGAAGGTCACTGGCTTCAGTTCAAAACGTCCACGTCCAAAACTCCCTTCATTTTGTTACTTATCATTCTTAACTCTACCCCGGTCAACGGAACCGGACTCGCACCCGAGACCTGACAACTGGTGTGACTTCAGGTGAAGTTAAAAGGTGCTGGGCAACATTTGGAAGGTTGATGTCTTCTCTGCAGGTGGTGAGTGGAAAGCAGCATTATCTGGGCCAGTTCTGGCTTAACCCTTAACTGCCCCAAAACATCCTGCTGTGACTTCTCCTCTGGTGTCACCAACCAAGGTGCAGGGTGTGTCGGTGATTTCATAATCTGAACCAATTTCTGGTGAACCAAGGCCACCAAACTATCTCACAACATCCAAAAAAGCAGTCAAACGTAAAAATAACACCTTCAGATCACTATCAAAACCACTACTACTGGTACCTTGTAAAATTTAATAGCCTACACCAAAGATCACCATGAAGGTGATCTGAGGGCTGGAGCAGCTCTGGAGCCAGGCTGGGAGAGTTGGGGTGTTCAGCCTGGAGAAGAGAAGGCTCCAGGGAGACCTGAGAGCAGCTTCCAGTGCCTGAAGGGGCTCCAGGAAAGCTGGGGAGGGGCTTGGGACAAGAGCAGGGAGGGATGGGATGAGGGGGAAGGTTTTCAAGCTGAAAGAGGGGAGACTGGGATGAGATATTAGGAAGAAATTCTGTGCTGTGAGGGTGGGGAGAGCCTGGCCCAGGCTGCCCAGGGAAGCTGTGGCTGCCCCATCCCTGGCAGTGTTGAAGGGCAGGTTGGATGGGGCTTGGAGCAGCCTGGGCTGCTGGGAGGTGTCCCTGCCCATGGCAGGGGGGGGGACTGGATGAGCTTTAAGGTCTCTTCCAACCCAAACCCGTCTGGGATTCTATTCTGATTCCTTTTTCCTTCCCACTTTCCAGATACTTGTATAGATGTTGTTAACATGCTACTCCTTTGCAAACACCTTGTGTGGTGGAAAAGCTCTACCAACACCATTCCAGAAACATTATTAGAAACCAACCTACTCAACACAACACAGAAAACTTACCAGCTCCAGCCATGAACCAAACCCCTGTCAGGTTAATGCCACAGCAGAGCTCTATCCCAACCTGTGACACCTCTCCACAAATGGGGTTTTTTCTAGTGCTGCTGCCTTGAGGCAGCTGAACACTTTGGAGGCATGGCCTTCTCAACTGATGACAGCTGAAGAAAAGTTTACCTTTAGGAAGAAACTGTAATGTACACCTGCACATATAAAATGGAATTGTATCATTAACCTTTAGTGTTTCTGCAGTGAGGAACATCTGGCCTAACTTTAATGATGGAAATATGAAAAGCAACATCAGCGTGGGTATCGCAGTGGAAAAGGACTTGTTGCAGCTGGATGCCAGCAGAGCTTCTGAAGAAAAATATCTAAAAACCTTGTAGGCTGCTTAGTGTTCAACAAAAACATTCCATTTCACCACTGATTTTCAAGTCCTGAAGAGCAGCACGAGTGTGCCAACTTTGTTTGCCTGCCTTGAGGAACAAGTTACCCCGGAAATCTCGTGTTAGTAACAACCAGTTCCCTCGTCTCCGTATTCTCAAGCACTTCAGTTCTCAAGCACATCAATGTTCTAGTTGTCAAAGGTATAACAGGCAGCAGCTGGACTCTCTGAAACATGCAGAGCCTCAACGTCTTTGTAAAATACATGACAGTGCTTTTCATTACCCTGCACACAAACACTAAGGTGCACAGCTAAGGGGAATGCAATCCTTACACCCTCATCTTGAAAACCTGCCCTCTTGATATAGCTGCTATTTATGCAAGATGTGCCATTATTTTCTCATTTCAACTTTTTAAGTATCTCTTCTTTGTTGTTATGACCCTCATTCAGGCCTCATTTTAAACATGTTGGTTTTGCTTAAGTCAACAGAACTATTTATAGCATTTAAAACAGACAAATGCTTCAGGCCCCAGCATTCTGCTGCTCTAGAGCAGTGAGATCAATCAATGGATTTAAACCACTGTAAAACCTGAGCCCCATGAGCATGACTCATTCTATTTTGGTCGTAAATGTGTGGCTTGAACACAGGAATCTTCCTTCCATTAGCAGGTCATGGACCTCAAGTGATGCCTCTAGACAGGAGATCAGATCCATGAATCCCTGCACAATCTGATGACCCCGATGGAGCCTGGAAGGCAGGGCTGTTTGCATCAGGCCACCACCTCCCCTTTGCTTTGCTCTGCATTCAGCACGTGGGAGGACTGACAGCTCATTGCCACTGGTTGCCATGCCCATCATCTCTTCTGCATTGTCAGTAATTGCTGCCAGCTCATCATTTAAGTAAGCACATAATGTATAGGCTTGCAGGAGACAGATGAGACACAGAGGACACGTTCTCAGTTTAGCAGCTCATCAGTTGCTGCTGCTGTTTCATCCAGTCAGCAGGGTGACCTTACTTCTCACCTGGTTTAGAACTACTCTAAAATCTGAAACCATGCTTGTCCTAGTCCAAGCCAGATCATTGCAAAACAGATCCTGCAAAGACTTTTTCCAAGCAGCTATGGACTCCAGCAAGGGGAACCATTCCTGAAATCCCGAGTTCCAGCCACAGCTTCAGGCAAGCAGAAGGTCTCAGCATTAACAAAGGAAATTGTGCTGAGCCCTCAGCTGAGCTGACACACACACCCCACAGCCAGATGGCTCACAGCTCAGTGGTGACACCATCCTGGCCATCTAGATCTTGGGAGAAAACTCACAGAATGCCAAGACCTGGACTTGGAACAGCCCCAAGGGTTCAGCTCGCAGTCCTTGGCATGTAAAAGGATTCATTTTCACATTCCTTTTTGGTACTTCATAGTTTTACCTCTTTAATGTGTAGGAAGTCCTTGGCATCAAAAGAGATGGCAGTGCTTGGGACAGGAACATCTTCATCCAGAGCTCCACAGTAACTCACATTAGTCTTAACAGCAAATGCTACTGGTTTGGACTACAAATAGAAACACACATCACAAACAATGGAAACTTTTCTGAATCAAGAACTGTTTTCTCGTATCAAATTACCAAAAACTTAGCAGAGGATATTTGGCAAATGCATCAACTTTCAGAATGAGTAGTTTCACATAAGCCAGCAGAGTTCAGGGCACTAGAGGAAATCCCCCTCTATATATTCACACAATATCTCCCCAAACATCTTGCCTGCAGATAACATCACTCAATTGTCACACTATTTCAAAACACAGCATCATCATTGTGCATCAACAGCGTGAGCTTTAACACCAGGCAAGAGAGAAATGCCACGACTTAATGATGACTGAAGTTGAAAAGAACACACCTTTGCCCTCTCAAGTTGTATAGCTGCTTGTTGTTCTCTTTCTTGGCGGATTGCTTCCCTGTCTTCTTCCAAAGAGACATCAGAGTCTGAGGGTCTGCTTGTGTACGAATCTGCTGAGCCCTGAAATTAAATCCAGGTCACTAAGAAAACAGAGGTAGGAAAGAGAAAGCCCCTCCTCAGTCACCTTCATAACACACATTTCAACTTTTTGCTTCTTCATTTCTGGAATGGGTTTTACATACTGTTGGTAGCACAGCAAATCTGCAGAACTTGGCACAGAAACAACCTGGTGCACTAAACCAAAGACAAAAATTCCCAAGCAAAACCCCTCTCCCCACTTTTCATCACCTTCTTACTGACACAGTGAAAGACAGCTCAGGTTTGAGTACTGTCCAGAAATCCTTACAATATTTAAATCCTGTTTGGCAGCGTTAGAGGCAAGGCTGTCAAGGGTTAGGTCACATCAAATATAATTAAGGTATTATAAAGCTTGGTTGGAATCACCCCTCCCTGTACATAGAGCACCATTGTGTAACAACTCCCCTCCCTGCCAGGGCTGCCACTTTGTTCTGTGCTTCAAGGGAGGGGGGGGAAGTGGCAAAAGTCATGTTATTAAAAGCTACTCAAGAGGGCAACCCAAAAGTTACAGGGAGGTCTGTGTTTTACCCTGCAGGGGAGGGGCAGGACTCACACACTGCCCAGGTTCTGCCCCACAGCTGGGCTGCTACAAAAGTCAGGCTAGAAAGTTGAGCACCAAGTGCTGCACACAGTCTGCACTGCAGTCTAACTTTTGGACTTGCATATTTTGCATGTCTTAGGAAAAATAACTACACAAAGGCACTACCATAAGAAAAGAGTGTGCTGTGCTGTATTAAATAGCCAGTGCTATGATTTCCAAGTCATTCCATCTGTAGCAACACATGGAAGAAAATGTCTGTGTATCTACAGAGCTCCCAAATCTGTAACTTTACACAAGCCATTCCACAGCATTATGTCATTCCATTGCTTTTCCTTAAATTGATTTATACCCTGCAGTACAAGGACACATGTTCTATGTAATCTACCACAGAAGTAAAAAAATCTTCATCTCCACATAAACTAACATGATTTTAAATATTGCTGTGAATACATAACCCTTAGAAGGCTTCTGGCAATGAACCACTGATGAGCAGATGCTCTTTTTGTCACATACTCACAACTTGGCCATAAGCATGCTACTAGGAAGGGCAGATTTCTTCTCTGTCAAGAACAGGATTTGCCTAATACGAGCTCACAACACACAGCTGTGATGTTAACAGAGCAGAAAGCCCCTTCCCTGCTCCCACACCACCAGGAGAGCTGGAAGGGCAGCACCTCTTGGCAGCAGGAGTCTGCAGGGACCCCCGTGTCTGGGGTCCTGAGCTGGAACAAGTCTTATCATCCACAGGCTGAGAACTAGCACTGGCTGCTGGCAGCAGCACAGGATTTTGCCAGCTCCAAGCCAGACATGCTGCTCTTCCTTCTGCTTCCTTCGGGATGTAGCAGAGACCAGGGAACTCAGCAGCCACAGCACTTGGCTGGGCCAGCACCAAACACAGCAGGCTCCCTCTCTCCATCTCGGGGGCAAGATTAAAACTTCAGCTCCCAAATGCATCACCAACGGAGGCACAAGAAAATTTCTTCCTGGATGAAAAGCAAGGGGGTGAAGCACACCAAGTGATCACACCTTGGAGAGAGGGGCAGCAAGAGCCCCCCTGCCTGGCCTTCTGTTCCAGCCTACATCCCTGTGCAGCAAGTGGAGGGAAGGGCTACCAGTGGGAAGCTGAATTCACATGGCCAAATATTCTAGTCCTAAAATTACAGCCTGTCCTCCATACCAGAGCCTGCACTGTTTGAAGCAGCTAGAGGGGGGAAAAAAACCAACCAACAACAAGATAAAAAATAGACCAGGAGTTGCAAAGACAGAGCAACTTTGTGGTAGAGAAGAAGAGCTCATCATTTACTGTCCACTAAAAATTACTAAGATGCAAAATGCTTTGTAGCTGGTGATGATCACCTTTTTTTTTACTGACAGACAACAAAGCTCCAATAGCAGCAGAAAGGAAGAAGGAAAAGTAATCACACCCACCAAATAAATCAATCAAAAGGCACAATAAATGCAAATACTGTCTTGCAGGAGGAATGGGCTTCCTTCCAAGCTTTTAGCCCTGCCTGGCATAACACACTCCAATGGGAAGACCCCACATCCTGGTGTGGCTGAAGCCTGAGCCAAAGAGCAGCGGGCACTGCTCCTCACCGTGCCACCTCCCCCTGCATCCTCTGTGTCCTGAAAGGTGCTTGAGAACAAGGCACAGAACACACCACCAACAGGATGGATACCAGCAGCAGGCAGAAAGCATCTGGATAGGAAAATGGTAAAGAAGAAGTGCACAGGGTCACCCCTGTGTGATTCAGGTGCCCTGGACACGTTCAGTGCAGCTCTGATTTAACAGAGACAGATCCCTGTGCTGGATGCACAGTTTCCCATACTGGCTTTTAGTGGTCTGTGTTTGAGCACTGACCTATTTAATGCTGTCAGAACAAAGTGGTCTTAACCAAGGCAGCTGATGCTGCAGGGCCAGCCCAGGCTGCTCCCCAGCACCAGTCACTGCCTGCAGGCCAGAGCGCACGGGTGGGCACAATCCCAGCTGCACCATCCCCTCTCTTGCAAGTTGTGCCAAACAGGCAGTGGCTTATCCAAAAGATGCAGCCCCAGGACCGTGACTCACGTGATGCTGAACTGCAGCAGCACCCTGGGAGCAAGGCAGGACCCTGCACATGGTGGTGAGATGGGACGAGCAGCCCGAGGGAAGCAGAGAAGCCGGGCGTCCCGCAGCGCTGCCCCAGCCTGGGCACAGCAGCACGGTGTCCACATCTGGCCACAGCAGCACGGTGCCCACATCTGGCCACAGCAGCTGGCCAAGCAACACCCAGGGTTGCATTGCTCAGCTCAAACACTGAGCAAGTCTGCCCAGAGCCACGGGGTGTGCTCACCTACCCTTGCCAGACACCTCATGCCCTCCCGGCCACCTCTCATGCCACTGTTCAGAGACTGATAGAATCACCTTGGTTGGAAAAATCCTTCTGGATCATGGAGTCCAACTACTGACCTGACACTGGCAAGTCCTCAGCTCCACCCCTGCTGTCTGCACTCACCAGCCAAGACACATTTGTAGGTACAGGGGACTCTTGGCAGCAGCAACTTCTGCTTACTAAATGGGACTCAGAATCTGACTAAGGCTTCTGGGAACTACTAAAACACAAGCAGCCCATAAATTAAAAATAACCCTGGCTATCCTCAGAAGTCCTGCTAGTGACTTGTTCTTCAAACTGTGCACAAACAAAGGTATTGCTTCTTGTATTGAATTTTTGGTTCTGTCTACAATTTTTGGAAGATCACATACTGTGAAATATTGATGGAATGTCGTGCAACAAGCCAACAGAAACACTTGTGACTGCACAGCACCCAGGGCAGCAAAGTTCTGCACTAACAACAGCTCATATTTGTGGAAACTGCAAGAGATGTGATCATACTAAACACCACGATGCCCCCATGCTCTTGTTGCAGCTGGGAAAGTGTAACTGGCTGCCTGACCACACCATGAAAACCAACTGATCTTCGTAGTCTTAGGGAAGTGAGAGAAGAACCAGGAATTTCCCATCTTTTCCTGCACACCAACACTTTATCAAGATGCCCTTTTGATGTCTTTCTTTTGCTGTTGCTTAGAGCAGCAGGCTGACAATTTGGGGCACACGTCCACAGTCCCATGTTTGCACATAATATTCAAGCACCTATTACCCCCCTAAAAGTTACCCAACCTCCACCTCCCAGCCCCCTGGGAGATTGAGCAAAGTGGGAGCAGATGCAAGGAGTTCAAGTGCACACCAGATTTGACAATGTGAAGGGAACAGGCTTTGCTAGATAATTATATTATTCAAGGCAATGAAAGACTTGTTTCATATTTCACAGTCTTTTTACTTTGGGCTCCTCTGAATTATTTTTTCTTGCAATTCATTATTTATTTTCTCCTTCATTCATTTTCCTCTCTCATCAAATAGTATGATTCAGCTTTGATTAAAACATGGAGGTTTGAAGTAATCCCATAAAAAATGCTAAGGAAGAAGGGTAAAGCAGAAAGAACAGAGGGTCTGTTTACTCAGCAGCTACAAAATAATGGTAAATCACCAGACCCTCTTGCTCACTGACTGGTCTTACTCTTGAGACTGATGAAGGATGCATGTTGAGGTGGCTGGATGATTGGAAAGGTTAACAGAATATTCCTAGTGAACATGTTTTTTCTATACCCAAGCCTGTTTAGAGAGGGAAAGTTCACATGCATCTTTCTCCTGGGCACTACAAACAACAGCCTGTCAGGTCCAGCCTTCCTGCTTGCTGAAGAGCAGAAGAAAACATCAACCTTGAGCTGTTATGGTTTCAGAAAGGGAAAAAAAGAAAGACTTCAGTGAGGTAGCAAATCATTTTGTTCCAACTGCCATAAATATACAGCTCTGAATTGCTCCCCAGCCCTACCCAGCCACAACCAGCAATGCTCTGCCACACAGCTTGTGCAATTAAAGCCCCCATCCATTAGGAGCTCCAATAAGGCAGATGACATGCAGCCTCTTTTGAAAAGACTGAGGGTGCTGCAGAGTCCATCACAACCCAGAAAGCATCTCTGAAAACATGCCCTGCTCTGAGAAAAAGCATCTGCCTTGTCCATTAAGCCAGACAACGGGGTAGCATTGTCTGGCTGTGGGAATCCTCCTCCTACAGAGGGATTAGCTGTGGGCATTTTGAGTACATCTCTATCCAGGAATAAGCAGACACTGAGCACACGTGGCAACCACTATGCTGAATAAACCATCCATGCCACTGGAGAGGAAAGCCCAGTGTCTGTGCTCACACACGTTTGTTCTCAGCTGAGAACACGAAAGATGCCTTTGCAACAACAGAAGAGTTCACTTTGAAAATCTAGAGCCCTTTAAAATGACAAAGCATCACAAGCAGCAGCACACCTGGAGGCACCAATTCATTTGAAAGGTTTGCTGGGGTCTGAAGAATATCAGAGCTAGGCACAGCACAAAATGCTTCAGGGGAAAGAAAACAGGTCACTCCTGTCCCATCCTGTCCTCACCCCTGCCTGTCCCTCCCCTGCCTCCTCTTAGCTCCTAACCTGAGTAGCTACCCAGAGAAGGAAGACTGATTTCATTAGCAGAGGTGTTCATGAAAAACTGGAGCCTCAACTTGAAAAAAGAAAACAAGACCAAATATCCTCAGTCCTCTGCAACTCCCAGTGAGAATGAGGCCAACGTGCAGGGCACAGGAGGCCACGTACCTCCCTAACGAGTTCCCAGGAACCTGACAAAGTTCTTGACAAAGCAAAAGGAGAATAAATAGGCACAGTGCTGGCTGCAGGGCCATATGCTGCCATATGCCACGATGCTGTGGTGCTTTTTTTTTAAAAAAAAAAAAAGCAGAACTATTCATTTTAGATGCAGTTCACTGCAAGACCCAACATAAGGGCTATTCCTCACGGGTCCATGTGCACTGTCTGGTCTCTCTACACAAGATTAACCCCTCCACCAGCTAGTCATAGTACCTGTACTGTTCCCTCTTCCTAAAATGCAGGTTTAACTCACAGAGGTTACCACCATAATTATGTCACAAAGACAGGTTTTACAGAGGATGAGTGCCAACATATTTTTAACAGAAAAGAGGAACCAAAACTTCTGAGCTTTCAAAAAACCCACATTTGAAATAACAGTGGCCACTACTGTTGACCAGAGCTCAGGCTCACCCAGGTCTCAGCTAAATTTAATCACTGTGCAGGTGATGTAATTAAGAGACAAACACAACACAGTGGGCATCTCTTCATTTGGCATGAAAACATTCCTGTGCTGCAACCAGCGTCAGAGCCACAAAAATCTGGGTGTGCTACAACAACCTCCCCAGTAAAATACTGCAGAAAGGTCCTATCCTAAGGGCTGGAGTCAGATCTGGGTGGGAACTCCAGGCAGGACAAGCAACCCTTTGCACTAATGAAACCAAATTCCCACATGTCAAGGCTTTGCAGAATGAGGTGCAGAGATTACACTGGGATCACAGCCCCTATTTTGCTTTTAATATCCTCTAGAATTATTAATGTTCCCCTAGAATTACAAAATGTGTTACAGCTGCTGTGATGTCCAATAATAAGCTCCAGAAGAGCTGTAGGAAAGGGTCTCAGTAGGACTTTCTCACTAATTCACATCTGAGACAATGTGAATGTGCCATTGAAAGTCCAAACAGGACAAAGTTCAATTCCAAACCAAATCATTTTCTTGCTGAACAAGGGACACACAGACAAGCCAGCTGCATAAGCATTTTGCATTGAGTTCTGATTTCAGACTTAAATGCTCAGTAATTATTTCCTTCTATATGTTTGCTAAATTTATTTAAGACAACTCATTAGGTGTCTCAGCAATTTGGAAATTACTAGGTAGTTAGAACATGTTTTTTTCTTTGTGAATACTAATTATTAGAAAATAGGGCAATTGTTCCAACATTTCTTTTCATGGGCTCATTTTTTTTCCCCCC